TTAAAAAAAAAAAAAATTCCTACCATCATTTAAATGTTCACACAAATACAACCTAAAAGCACCCAAATCACTAGCAGACTGTTTACGTGCAGCAAATGCTGCATGTGGAGTAGGGCTGCTCTCACAGGGAGACTCCTGTCATGGCCAGCAGACAGTGACTGCAGCATGAAACAACTTCCCTTCAGGCCTAAAACTTGCAGACTAAAAAACAATGTTTTTATTGTGCGTCAAAGGTCTGTTTTTTTAATATACAAAATTTTTACACAAATACAAACCAATCCTGTTTCCCTGAGACTACTTTGGTATCTTCAAATCTACACACAAAAAGAGCACTAAGAAATAAACAGAGGTTGTGACTTCTAAACACAGTTTTAAAACAACTATAATTGCCAGGAATGTGAGCCCATGTCTGTAATTCCAGCACACAGAAGGCTGATGCTGGAGGATCACCAGGAGTTCCAGGCCAGCTTGGGTCTGGGCTACATAGTCAGCTCAAGGCAGGTCTAAGCTACAGAGATCCTGTCTCAATAGGAAAAAAAAAAAAAAAAAAAAAAAAGTAAATAAAAACACTACATTCGTCATCATCCTTAATATGAAAAAATTAGAAATTATCTAAATTCATTTTAAATAACAACGAAAAGAAAAAAAAAGATCCAGGAGTGTCTGTAATCCTAGTACTTGCAAAGCTGAGGAAGGAGGATCGTTAGAGACCAGGCCAGGCTACAAAAGTGACCTCAAGGCCAGCCTGAACTGTACAGCAAAAGACCCTTTCTCAAAAAGAAATTTTAAAAAAAACAATGCAAGAACTAGAAGTAATCAGCAGTAGTAGTAGTAATTACTGAAGTGTCCTTATGCTAGGTTTTGAAATATAACAGGCATTTCTATTAGTCTCTTTCATGGGGCAAGCAACAAAGCTTTGGAGTTTATAAAGAGACCTGGCCACATCATGCTAATAGCGGAGCCAGAAGAACTTGGCAATTAGCTATTCCCCCCAGCATAATTATTTTTACTCAACATGCAAAATCAAATATCACCAAATTCTATCAGTTATACAAAGTGTATGTCTATAAAATAACCCATTCTTCACCATCTATTCCCATTATTGTACCAGAAAGAGTGCTGGAAGGGGACTTCTGTGACCCTGATTGCTGGGTCAGCTCCTACCCTCAATGTGGAGGCAAGTACTGTACTTCTCTTCAGGCTTCAGTTGCCCACTGGTAACCTGATAAAATTGGACAGGATAATCCCAAAGACTTTTTTACCTCCAACTGCTTTTAATGAGTTTTTCAAAGTCCCTAAGGCTATATATCTACTAGCTTTATGATGCTTCTGCTCCAGTTTATAGAGACGCAAGGGAAAGGATAAGAGATACAGGCTGCTAACATAAATCCTTCAATTCTTCCTCTTTTTTGTTTTTAAGCTTCTGTTCTATGTTATGTAAGTGAAAAGCTGTCAGATCAAATTCTGTCATGTATTTTACGCTCTGTCCATGAGATAAACCAAAAAGCCTAACTAGATTCTACATGACTGAGAAAGTTTAATGTAGCCTCAAGCCAAATCATCAAAATATTGTCACAGAATGGAATGAAGTGTAAACTGTCCAAATTAATTTATGAATTAAGTAAATGGTATGCTCATTAATTCTGGCTAACCTAGATAAAAACAAGGTGACTCTTACATAAGAGTGTGAAACTATCCAATGAACATGATTAATTTAAATAAAAAAAAAACCAGCTTGATGATATCCATCTTTTAATGATTTCACTCCTTTTCCCTCAGGGAATTACACAACTATGTATTTGAAAGAATAAATATGCCATTAAAAATTTGAGGAGCAAAAAAAATAAAATAAAATAAAATAAAAAATAAATAAATAAAATAAAATAAAATAAAATAAAAAATAAATAAAAATTTGAGGGGCTGAGACTATAGCTTGGTGGCACAGCACCTGCCTAGCAAGCACAAGGTCCTGAGTTCAATTTCCCATACCAAAAAATGAAAAAAGAAAAAAAAAAATGAAAATGGAGTTGGCAAACAAATTTTTCTTTTTTACAAATTTCTATCACTGTGATTTTTCCTATTTATTGTTGATTACTGGTTGTCAGTTCTACTCTAAAAAGAGGGGAACATGTTTAGATGTTCAGTTCCTAAATTACTGCAGGCTTACCATACATTACTATAACTGGAGGGCTTAAGAGGGAAGAGACAATTTCACAACTGAAAGAATTCTCTGAGAAACATAATTATCTCAACTTATCCAAGTCACAATACTACATCTTAGGACTGCTGCTACAAGAGGCAGAACAAGTTTGGTGTCCTGGCAACCACATCCAGCAATGCTTTCAACCCTTTCCACAGAAAGCCTGTTTGTTTCTAAACCTTATTATGATTTTTCTCCCTCAATTCCTCTTTTTTCTCACTACCATCATTTCCTTCCCTAACACCAGCCCTGCATTATATCAACTCAACTGATCTCTTTATCTTAGTACTTACTTGTTACTCTGCCAGAGTCCTGCCCCACACAAGGTCCTAAATCCTAGGCTCATCCAACTACTCACCTCCACTCTGCTGAGATGTTGAATATGACAAAAATGAAATAACTCAACAGACTGCTGTAACCATCCAAATCTCCAGTGGCCACAACACTCTGGCAATCCCTCTTCAGCCTCTGTGAAAAAAGGAAGGTTTAATTACATATGGATAAGGACTCTACAGTCTGCAGGCAATGGACAAGAAGGTAAACATGATTCGTACCTGTTGCCTCTTCTTTAAAGCAGAAAGAAAACCTATTTTTTAAAGTAACACTAATCCAATAGTTCACCATCTACCAAGCGCTATTATATAAACACATCACCTAAATTTCCTTAAGTCACGGTTACTGCAAACCCACGAGGTGGATTAATTTTTTCTCTTGGCAGATGAGTGTCTCAGTTACTCTTCTCTCACTGCTGGGACAAATACCCAAAACTCAAAATGAAGGAAGGAAAGGTTAGCGCAGTTACTGAAGGCTTCAGTCCATACTCAACTGGCTCCAAAGCAGAGCAGCACACACAGAGCAACCGTTCAAGGTGGAGGCAGAGCACAAAAGGAGTGTCAGAAGCACAGGCAGTTACTAGCCTCTCCTCCTTACATTGTAATGCAAATTACATGCCTCCGGGCAACTGCGGCATCCACACCCACAATAATCAATCACAAACTCCAGAAGCCTCAGGACTACCAGAGAGGCACTGGAGACTACCAGAGGCTTTGGCGGGGACACCTATACACAAACTATAACAACGAGGAAACTTAAGAAACAAGGCAGCTGTGTAATGCTTCCAGGCACACAACTAGTAAACAGCAAAGTAGCCTTTGACTCCAATGTCTACTCTTTCAATCACCACCGCTTGACCTGAAGTATGACCTCTTAGAACAAGATGGCTCAACACTTATTATTTACAAGGGAAGTCCTAAGAATATTCTTTCTTACAAAAGGTTTGATTCAGCCTTCATGTCCAAATGAGCTCCCAGATAAAAGCTCATTCAAATATGAAGGCACCTGGCATCTAGTTTGCCAACTCAGTCAGATGATGTAGGGCTCTGCAGGTGTGAAGGTCATGTAAGACACTGGTTAGGGATAGGTGCTCATAAGCCAAATAAATGGAATTACCAATTGGGTAACCATGGGCAGATTATTCGAACATGCAGAGGAAAAAGATCTAACAGTTAAGGAATACACTGTGACTAACTGCTAAATATATATTAAAATGTTCATATTTGTGCTAGGTATAGGAACATGTGTGCCTGTATTCTCAACTAATGAGAGACTGAGTCAGAAGGATCTCTTGAGCCAAAGGGTCTGAATCCATCATGGGCAACAAAGCAAGATCCTATCAAAACAAAAACAAAAACCTTGTATCAAAAAATAGACTGGGATAGGGCTGGGGAGATGGCTCAGAATAAGCGCTTGCCTGGCAAGCGCAGGGCCCTGAGTTCAATCCCCAGTACTGCCAAAAAAAAAAAAAAAAAAGCAAAAAATAAAAAATAAAGACTGGGTAGATAGTTGGGTGGTCTAAGTGCCTGCCTGGCAAGTGAAAGGACTTGAGTTCGATTCCAGGTACCACATGCTATGCCAGCCTCGGCCATTCCAGTCCCGAAACCAGATGTGATAGCACTCACCTGGAATCCCAGTGCTAGGGAGGCTAATACAGGAGGATCACTACAAATCTAGAGCTGTGTAGGGAGACCCTGTATCAAATAAATAAACAGAATAGTGGTGGTGTATGCCTATAACCTCGACACCCAGTAAGCTGAGGCCAGAAGACCACCACAAGTTTGAGGCCAGCCTGGGCTATATAGTGAATTCAAGGTCAGTCTGAACTACATAGAGAGATGTTTTTTAAAAAATATTTTTTTAAAAAGAAACTCAGAAGCAAATTATAATCAATATGACCCAGGACTCACAAGAGTTTTCTTGGCCGGGGAGATGGATCAGTAGAATAAGCACTTCCCTGGCAAGTGCAAGGGCCTGAGTTCAATCCCCGGTTCCACAAAAAAAAAAAAAAAAAAAAAAAAAGTTTTCTTGTTTTTGTTTTTTAATGTATTTGGCTGTTGCAGGGTCTCACTATGCAGGTCAGACTCATGGTAATACTCCTGCTTTCAGCCTTCCCAGAGCTGGGAGTACAGGCCTACACACCACTATGCCCAGACTCTGATGGGCTCAGCCTGGCCTGGAGGCAGGGCTGGGAGGCATGTGGTGCTGGGGATTGAAATGTGGTCCCTAAGCAGGTGCTTTAGTCCACTAACCTATCTTGCTCCCCCCACCTTTTTTGAGAGAGGGTTTCACTATGCAATTCAGGCCGATCCTGAACTCACTATTTAGTCCACACTGGCCTCTAACTTGCAGTCATCCTTGTATCTTAGCCTCCCAAGTGCTGGGATTACAGGTGTGCACCACCACACCCAGCCAATACTCTTACAGATAAAAAATGTAATGATTAAAAAATTAAATTAAAACAAGCAAATAAGCAAAAGGTATAATAGATAATTCATGAAATATGTTCTTTGGTGGGGGGCAGAACTGGGGATTGAACTCAGGCCCTGTCAAGAGCTTATTCTACTGAGCTATCTCTCTGGCCCATAATTCATGAAACAGGAAAGATAAAAAGTTCTCGGTGCCTGTATTTATTTTTTTTTAATTATCCTGAATATATGTATTTTTAAATTAACTTAAAGTGGACATCGTCACATATGCCTCACTGGGAAGCTAAGGAAATAGAATCACAAACTCAAGCCCAGCCTGGGCAATTTAGTGACTTAACAAGACCCTTTCCCAAAATATAAAAGAATATATGTTGGGGCTGGAGCTCAGTGCACAGGCCCTGGGTTCAATCCCAGTACAACAAAAAAATTTAATTTACAGATAATATCAGCGTATACATTTATATAGCAAAGTTTGGAAGGACAAACAAGGATAGCACTATTTATCAACAGCAATTGTGCCTGGTGTGAGAAGAAGGGCCTCAAGGGAGAAGACATAGAAGAGAAAAAGAGAGTGAGTTCCAGCCCAGGCACCCTCCCTCCAGCAGCTAGCTGGCTTTGCACAGCAGGCTCCCACAGATGTACCACACAGGCAAAACAGAGGTGACATGACTGCCCCTGACCTCCAAGATAGGCAAAATGTGAATTTTGATGGTTCTACCCCGGAGCAAAAAAGTAGAGTTCGGGGCTGGTGAGATGGCTCAGTGGTCTAAAGCACCTACTTGGAGCAAGCTTAGCAAAGCACAGGGACCACGGTTCAATCCCCCAGCACCACATGCCAGCCAGCCCCGCCCCCTGGTGGGCTGAGCTGGCCACACGCACGCACACACACACACACAAATAAATAAATAAAATAAATAAATTTAAAAAAAGAAAAACCAGTCTTAAAAAAAAAAAAAAAAGTAGAGTTCATAAGGCTAAAATGAGATTCATAAAGTCTTACAAGGTACTGAACAATCAGAACACAAAATAAATAGTAGGGGCTGGGGAGATGGCTCACTGGTATAAGCATTTCCCTGGCAAGTGCAAGGGCCTGAGTTCAATCCCTGGTTCTGCAAAAAAAAAAGAATGCTTCTTCACCCTTCAGATAGATTCACAAAAGCCTAACTATAAATTAATAAATATTCTTAAAACAGAAAAAGAAACTTGCAAACACACAACTGCATGGAATTTCCCAGCCAGTCCCAGCAGCTGCCCTGGTCACTGATTCTCTACAAACTGAAAACAGGGTAATTGAGGCCCACAAGCTTCTAAAGATCTAAGGTCCTTCTTAAATACTAGAGCAAGCATTGCTCTTAACCTTTGTCACTGAATTTGAATCTTCTTTCTAAACTGCACAGAATGATGCATGATTTTTAAAGTAAATATATCATACTTTTATGAAATAAATAAGAGAAAGAAATAAACGGGCTCGGACCCTAATACATACTGTGCCACAGTAAAGAAATCCACATATCTGCCTTTAGGACACACAACAGTAGTATGTCATGGCCCAGATTAACAAGCACTATTTATAATCTCAAGGTAGCAATTTATTCAAAAAAAAAACAAAAAAAAAAAAAACACTGCTTACTGGATAGACCATAAAATTTCATTCATTTCAAAATTGAGGAGGCCGGGGAGATGGCTCAGTGGAATAAGTGCTTCTCTGGCAAGTGCAGGGGCCTGAGTTCAATCCCCGGTTC